ACCTGAACGAAATGGAAGAGATGGGCAGTAAATATCACAACGGGGGGGGGGGGGGGGGGGGGGGGGGGGGGGAAGCGCATTTCTGTATCTCCCAGTATTTCTCAGTATTTTCAAGTATTTCCAGAGGATGTAGATGTGAGTGTGTTGAAGAGGAGACTCACATCCACACTCATACCTAGTGACAGCAACTACTCATACATACACCCACACCCTATATAAACTACCACACATGTATTTCGAACGTTATTTAATAATTCTAAAAAGTAGAACTAGGTAGTTTTAAATTGTTAGATTTCGTCGAATCCGACAATCGGATATTGTCGGATAGCTCAAGAACCTAATAGTATTCGCCTGGGTAAGCTCAATCAGGGTAAACATGAGAAGATATGAGTTCTTTCATCCTATGCTATTCCGGATCATTTTCTTCTGAACATTTAGAAATAGTTCTTATTTTATAATGATGAAAAATAATCGAGAATTTCAAAAAAAAATTGTATCATTTCTTATTAGCAGAGATTTTAATGAATATTTTAATTTTTAAAAATATCACCACTCAATCAATGAACTCAAGAAAATATGAACAGAACTTAAATATTGTGTTTGAGCGCCATCTATGTATACTTATGGACAGAAAATTTCGAAAAAATGTTCAGTCTAAAAATGTTTCCTAGTATTCTTTCGTTTTATTTTCTTAAATATTATTGATAAATCATCGATCTTGTTCCATCATCATCACATTTTTTAATTGGTTATTAACAAACCTCTGATCATGTCACCATTTATGACTTTATTTGCATTCATTCATCATTTTTCTGTTTTTTGCAAATCTTTCATAGTTCTATACATGTTCTTTAATTCTGATCAAAATATATTGCTCGAGATATGTACATAACTTGCTCATGATTGTTCATTTAATGTATTGAAGAATCGTCTCATTCCGACAACAAATACTCATGATAATACAAGCAACGATATAGAAAATAATATTTCACTGTTGTATGAGATAAGTATTATCCAAATTTTAAGTATATTATTACTCTAAAGTAAAGAACAATATTATGTACAAAAAAAATTATACGTAATGCCAGATATATATGGTAGTAGGACAGATATAGAATCAAGATACACAGTGCAATGTATGAAATAGTTGATGATGATGATTCTATATACAATATGAAATTGAATAAATAATCAGAAACAACAACATGAAGCTAAATACAAAGAATTCAATCAAATGTAAGATGATAAAAATTCTTCATTTATTTTATATTCATTCTTTTCTTTGTATAGTACAGACAAAGTCACCCAAAAAAAAATAATATACAATTGAAATTAACATTGGAAGCATTGCATGTTTTTTTTTAATGACAATTAATTATTCCAATTGACGAACGTATACAAAAAAAAATGAGGAAAGAACATCAACAACAGAAAGTAAAAACTAAAGCGACACAATTAATGATTTAACACGAAGTATATCAATAGCAATGCATGAAGAAATCATTTGCGAAATTTATAACTAAACACAATAAATTGGCAAAAATACTATCTAGAATAGCTACAGTACAATCATCTACTACTCAGTTGAAAAGAGAAAAGAAAAAATATATATATTTAGAGATTCTTAACGTACAAGAAAACCGTCCGAAGTGATTTAACACTTGTGAAATTATATCCTGAACATATTAAAGACGGCTTCTAGAATAGAATAACATCAAAAGGGTTTGAGCTCACGGACTCTAGTCATCTGAGAAATGTATACTATTCACTAGTCACTGAATACAGAAAAAAAGTACTTCGGATTTTCGTGGTGGCTATTCAATCCCGATTAGAAAATATTGGACCCGATGGGATCTATCCCTTACATCTACTAGTCGAAATCTTTTTACGATTATTCTATCCTAGCAGTTCTCTTCTGAATATCTCAAATATAAGTTGAAAAAGTGATAAATTATTTCGAAGAATTTCCTTGTAAGTTTTATTCTATTCTTTCAGATATAATTAAACATTACTAAAATTTTTCATATTGGTAAATCCACCATCACCTGGTTGTATATTTCGATTATTTTGCCGATAATTTGAAAAAACAATTCGAGCTCCAGATTCATTATTATTCGATAATGGTACAGATAAATGATGTGATTTAGCTCGAGTATTAAATGGTGGTTGTGGTATATAAGTAAGTTTAGATAATTCATCTTTTCGATGACGATTTCGTTCAATAATAATTGCTTGTATACGTGCTATTTGTAATAATATAATAAGAATAT